TATATATATATATATATATATATATATATATATATATATATATATATATATATATATTACACACATACATGTATTTACGACGATATAACCGAAACTGGTTAAATACCTCTCTTGTATTGTGAAGATATTCATTCTCATTCATACCTCTTCCACATTTGTCAACATGAATACGGTGCACACACACACACGCACACACGCACACACACACACACACACACACACACACACACACACACACACACACACACACACACACACACACACACACACACACACACACACACACACACACACACACACTCACACACACACACACACACATATGTGTGTGTGTTTGTATATATATGTGTGTGTATATATATATATATATATATATATATATATATATATATATATATATATATATATATATATATATATATATATATATATATATATATATATATATATATATATATATAAACACACACATATTGTATATATATGTGTATATATCTTTATTTATATCCTTTAACATCAGACAACAGATACTCAGTTCGGACCTAATAAGAAATCGGTTCAATCAGATAAACGAAAGCAAAGCTCCAGTAAACATTCAAATAGAAGCTCTACATCCTTTAAAAGGGTTATGGCATAAGAATATAGTCAGACAGGTACTGTAGAGAGTAATAACAAGGAAATTATTTTATGCACCAGATTTATGATGACTTGGAATAAGGTGAAAACAGATCCATACAATAGAGAAACCTGAAGTAGACATGACATGTAACAAAAATGAATTACAGAAGCAGACTTATACAACTATGTACGAACCTAGGACAAATGTAAGTGGAATAATTAGTGACATTCCGACCGTCAGTAGTGGAAAGAAAAACGAATAAAAAGATATGGCATTAGCAGGCCTCTCAAAATATATGCAGGAGTGATTGCGGAAGTAAGCCTATCCAGAATTTTTAAAAGCAATGATTCTTCTATTGCACAAAAGCTGATAAAATTTGTTTTTTTAAGATTTGCCAGCCTATAAGCTTCCTGTGAATTGTTTCTACATGATTCATATAAGTGACCACAAATCGTCCTTCCCTTCTTCTCTTTCTCTCCCTCATGTATTGCCATGCTTGCTACAGTGCATCATTTCAGTTTATTACCATCGTTGAACTAGATGCAATTTTTTGCCTTCCAGGTCGAACGGAAATTCAGCGACTCGACGGGAGCACGGCCCGCTCCCCAAGCACAGAAAGTGCAGCTCAAGTCCAGCACACGATCTCTCCGCAGCCACTACCAGACCCTGAAGCGTCCGCCAAGCAGTTGCTCGCAAAGCCCTCCCAAGGTAGAGACCTTACACTGGAAGGATACGCCTCGCAGGGATCGGAGGGCCTCGCTGCCCTCTGGTGTCAAGCTCCTGGAAGCCCCTACGCCTTCACCCAGCGCCCTCGGCGTCCAGGATGAGGCAGGTAAGACACAATAAGAGGCCCTGTGTCATGAGGTGAAGGGGACTTGCGAGGAGAACATTGATCGGAGTCGGTGAGTTACCCCAGATGGAAGCAGGATGATGGTGACTGATTTGACAAGTCTGCTGTAAAGATAAAATTGATAAAGGTGAAAAAAATATGTTTCAGATATGAATATATATAGATATAGATATAGATATGCAAATCTGCAGGCGATGTGTATGTGCATGAATGCTCGCATTCGTGCGATTTGTGTGTGCACTCGCGCGAATTTGCATATACTGGGTAAGTCAAATCGAGATACGGTAGTGGGTGAGTTTATCATAGATATGATGGCGGGTTGAGAACCACTGACAATGATTCCCTAAGCAACTACTTAACTTATATATATACTTATATAAATAAGTATATATATAACTATGTATATACATAATACACACACACACGCACACACACACATATATATATATATACATATATGTATGTATGTATGTATGTATACACACACGTGTGTGTGTGTGTGTGTTTAACCCATTGCTGCCAGGGAAAATGAACAAAAAATGGGGGAAATGCAGTACTCATTTTTTATATTTTTGTGAAATATCTCTGTCCATAGATGGCTCTGCTAGTCCTGATTTCACCTTTCCTTGAATTGGCGGGAAAAAACGTATTTTTACTAGTGCTATAAATATGGATGGTGTTATTTTTAACAGCAAATTAGGATACAGGCAGTACTCGTAATTGGCTCACTGGATATTTAGTACAAGTGTAGCATGTACGTACATGCCATCCCCGGCGGCAATGGGTTCATTTATGTCTCTTGGTGTTAGTGTTGCATTTTAATACTTATGTGTGTTATGTATGTATATGTTTATATATGTATGTATGTAGGCATATACATATGTATATATATGTATACATATATAAGTGTATATATATATATATACATATATATATATATATATATATATATATATATATATATATATATATATATATATATATATATATATATATATATATATATATATATATATATTATATATATATATATATATATATATATATATATATATATATATATATATGTGTGTGTGTATACACACACGTGTTTGTGTATGTGTGCGTGTGAGTGAGTGATTGCATGTTCTTTTTCTCTTTTTTATTTCATCATTGACTGGTTGATAACATATAGCCACAGTTATCCTCATTGCAAGTCCACAAGATGCGGTAAATGCTTTGTCCTTTTGGTTTCGGCAGATGACGCAGAGGGAGGCAGTAGCACTTCCACCGAGCTCTGCGACGACGAGGATGAAGACAAGCTGAGCGACCTCGAGGCCGACGTGGCCGCGGAGGGGCGCCCGGCCACCACATCTCCGCGCCTCGAAACTGTCATGGAACTGCAGACGCCATCGCCAGCCAAGCAGCAGCGGAAAAAGCAAGAAGCTAAAGCGATAATCTTAGAGAGAGAGAAATTGGCTACTGATAAAGAAATCGAGCTGAAGCCAGAATCGAAGCTGTTGATAAAGGAACCACAAGAAATTTCTAAACCAGAAGTGACGACACAGACTGAGTCAGACAATGAATCTACAGAGAAATCGGAAATGAAATTAGAGTTAGAATTGGAAGCAGTGGAAGGCAAACTTGAAGATGCAAAAGCAGACAGTAAACCATCATTGCGTGAAGAACAAGAAGAAACAGAAACTAGTACCAAATTAGGAGATATAAAAGTAAAAACTGGTCTAGTGGAGAGAAGTGAAGAAGAGAGTGTAAAGCAGGCCAAACTAGAAGATAGAATAAAGAAGATAATACCAGAAAATAAGTTACTGGAAATAGAATCACAAAAGGAACCAGAGATGTTAAAATCAGAAGAGATGAAAGCAGAAAGTAAGCCAGGGAGGATAAAGGCAGAAAGAGAAGCAGAGTTGATAAAATCGGAAATTAAGCCAAAAGAGATAAAACCGGAAACTAAAGGAGTTGAGATAAAACCAGAAATTAAACCTATGGAGACAAAACCACAATTTAAAGCAGAGGAGATAAAACCGGCAAATGAATCAGTAGAGATAAAACCAGAAATTAAAGAGATTGCAGAATGCACAACAGTTGAATCATTGGAGATAAAACCAGAAAAAATATCAGTGGATATAGAGGCAGAAATTAAATCAGTGAAAATCAAACCTGAAATGAAAGTAGAGATAAAGCCACTTGAAGATATCACAGAACATGCAGCAGTTGAATCACTGGATATAAAACCAGAAATTAAAACAGTTCAGGTAAGACCAGTAACTGAATCAGTGGAAATAAAACCAGAAATAATATCAGTGGAGATGAAACCAGATATTAAATCAATGGAAATCAAACCTGAAATGAAAGTAGAGATAAAGCCACTTGAAGATATCACCGAACATACAGCAGTTGAATCATTGGATATAAAACCAGAAATTAAAACAGTGCAGGTAAGACCAGTAATTGAATCAGTGGAAAATCAGTGGAGATGAAACCAGATATTAAATCAATGGAAATCAAACCTGAAATGAAAGTAGAGATAAAGCCACTTGAAGATATCACCGAACATACAGCAGTTGAATCATTGGATATAAAACCAGAAATTAAAACAGTGCAGGTAAGACCAGTAATTGAATCAGTGGAAATAAAACCAGAAATAATATCAGATATTAAATCAATGGAAATCAAACCTGAAATGAAAGTAGAGATAAAACCAGAAAGTGAATCAGTGGAAATAAAACCAGAAATAATATCAGATATTAAATCAATGGAAATCAAACCTGAAATGAAAGTAGAGATAAAACCAGAAAGTGAATCAGTGGAAATAAAACCAGAAATAATATCAGATATTAAATCAATGGAAATCAAACCTGAAATGAAAGTAGAGATAAAGCCACTTGAAGATATCACCGAACATACAGCAGTTGAATCATTGGATATAAAACCAGAAATTAAAACAGTGCAGGTAAGACCAGTAATTGAATCAGTGGAAATAAAACCAGAAATAATATCAGATATTAAATCAATGGAAATCAAACCTGAAATGAAAGTAGAGATAAAACCAGAAAGTGAATCAGTGGAAATAAAACCAGAAATAATATCAGATATTAAATCAATGGAAATCAAACCTGAAATGAAAGTAGAGATAAAACCAGAAAGTGAATCAGTGGAAATAAAACCAGAAATAATATCAGATATTAAATCAATGGAAATCAAACCTGAAATGAAAGTAGAGATAAAGCCACTTGAAGATATCACCGAACATACAGCAGTTGAATCATTGGATATAAAACCAGAAATAATATCAGATATTAAATCAATGGAAATCAAACCTGAAATGAAAGTAGAGATAAAACCAGAAAGTGAATCAGTGGAAATAAAACCAGAAATAATATCAGATATTAAATCAATGGAAATCAAACCTGAAATGAAAGTAGAGATAAAACCAGAAAGTGAATCAGTGGAAATAAAACCAGAAATAATATCAGATATTAAATCAATGGAAATCAAACCTGAAATGAAAGTAGAGATAAAACCAGAAAGTGAATCAGTGGAGGTCAAACCAGAGAGTAAAGAGATAAACATAAAACCAGAGCTTACCTCAAGGGAGGCAAAAGCAGAACCTGAGTTAACAGCAATAACACTAAAGATTAAGCAAGAGGAGACAACACCAAAAGATAAAGAAGAGGAGGTTAAGCAAGAAGGTAAAACAGAAGAGTTTGAGGCAGAAGATAAACTGGAAACTGTGAGAGCAGAAAATAAGTTACCGGAAATGAAGCCAAAGGAAATAAGGCTTGAAGACAAAGCGGACGAGATAAAACTTGAAAAACAATCAGTCGAAAGTATCCTTAAGGAAATAAAACTAGAGAATGAAGACGAGGATATGAAGGTGAAAAACGAGCTAGAGGAGACAAAGCCAGAAGCAAGAGTAGAAATGAGACTGGAGGAACAGTCGGCTACATTTCCAGACATGGGGCAGGAGAGACAGGAAGCAATAGTTGGGGCAGGTGGGGAGGAAGCGCCATATAAAGAAATGGCACAGGAAGGTGTTCGAAAAAGCGAGATAAGTAAAGATGTACAGGAAAATATAGTGCAAGGTGAAATATCTGGAAAGACGAAATATGGTAAGAGAGAGGAAGAGGAACCAATAGAACTAAAGCTAGCAGAAGGGGTATTCGAGTGGACGAAAGTGGACTTTACGCAGGAGGAAATAAAGCCAGAACAGGTTACAGAACATACAGCATCCCTACCTCTCTCGCCGCACTTGGCAGCGGATGAAGTAGCAGAGGGCGATATTCCAGTTCAGGCTGAGAATCCGCCACCCAGCTCATTATATTCTCCTAGTTATGCGTTCTCTTATGGGATTCCTTTGGAGGTTCTCTTGGCGGGGAAAAATCTTACAGCCGCTGAAATCATAGCAAGGATTCCTTTTCCAAGTGACGTCAGCTTTATGAAAGGCCCCGAAGAGATAGATAAATTCAGTGCTCAGCACAATGTCACGCCACAGAGGTCACCAATAGAAACTACCTTTCCAGATTTCCCATCACTTGTACCAGCCAGTGAAACCTCACTGACAGTGAAGATGTCCCCTGATTCCTCACCATCATTATCTCCATCACCATCTCCAAGAACTTCCCCCATTAGTGTATCACCACACAGATCTCTTACCAACACTCCTAGTATATCTCCAAACATCACGCAAGAAACTAAAGCTAGCATAAATTGGTCACAGACAGAGCTGCCTTCTACACCCCCAGAATCTAGAATGAGTTCGCCACTCATCCCGCCCAAATCCCCTAAAATTACAGTTGAGGATGAAAAGAAAAATGTTTTTGAAATCCATTCTGGGGTTCCGGGACTTTCAACCTTTGTATTTCATCCCGTAGAGGAAACAGGAGAAAAATCACTTTCTAATATGTGTCCAGACGTTGAATTTGAATTTAACTCAGATTCAGATGCAAAAGAATTGCCTGGAGAAAAAGTACAAAAGTCTAGGAATCCAAACATGACAAACCAAAATATAAGCGACTCTCCCATTCTCCATGATACTCCTTTTGTAGAGACTCCGGGGTTTAGCCAAAGAAGCATTGACAGCAGTGCAAGATCAGATATGGAAAGACCTACATGTGAGACAACAAAGCATTTTAATATCGGTATTAATATACAAGAAGGTACTGAAACGAAGGACGTGACACTTTCAGATATAACTGTTAAACACGGTATTAAAGACACCATAGGGAATGAAGATATGCATGAGGAAAATGACATTGATGTGTCTTCAAAAGTTCTTACATTCAGAGAAAATATATCAAGGTCAAGACTCTCCACCATGTTGGCAGATGATGCTAAGAAGGAACCAGGTGCACTGACTACTGATAGCTTTAAGACAGATACTTCCCATGATGCATGCTTCCTGCAATCATCATCAAGCTTAGAGACTGAAAGTCAGTATCCCTCTGTTCCTGAACTTTCAGATATCACCCAGCCTAAAATAGCAAGTGCAAACAATGAATCACTTGATATTCAACTAGGAGACACTGAAATTTGTTTGAGGACTGAACCTGACCAATCAAATGATGCAATTTCAGGGGAAGACGTATTAAAATCAACAAGTCCAGTTTGTATTAGTGAAAACCCTTTGGTTACCCATTTGGTATCTAAAACAGAAATACGAGTCTCAGAGACTCATACCGAAGAGTTCAAGACAACCAAACATACAAGTAACAGTAAGTCACTGTTATTACATTCACAAATCAAAAGTTCTTTGTTATCTGTTGGATCTACGGATGATGTTTCTAAATCTGCTGATAATCAGGAATCAGAACAAAAATCTAGTTTCTCTGAGTTTAAAGATTCATATCATTCATCTCAAGCAAACAGCTCCAGAGAACCTGATATAGGTCCTCTTGATAACGGTATTTCTTCAGTGATAATACCACTTGAGAGTAAAATAACCAGAGAGGACCGAGAATTTGTGCACACACAGAGTCAAGCAGAGAGGAATATGTACAAAACAGATGTCACAGCCAGACTTTCGGCAGCAGAG